CACCTGCCCCCGCGAGTGCCAAATGCATGTCCCAATACAAGGTCGAGACTACCCCGGACCAACAATCCGTGACTTTGACCTTATTGCCCGCCACATTAACCGCTTTGAACCCCAACCGGGAAACCCTGCAGACCCCCGGTCGTACCTCAGAGACATTGACTTCTACTCTAAACGTTTGCTCAATGCATCTCTAGAGGACAAAGTATTCTTAATAAAACTTACGTCCAACAGGGAAGTTAATAACTTTATAGACAGACAGTCACCCGCCACACGGCGAAACTACGACAATCTCTGTCAGGCCCTCCTTGACGAATACTTTGACTTTGGAACGTCTGGTACACTCACTGCAGCCCTAACCGTCAGACAGGCCCGTAACGAGCCGTCAGACGCTTACTATCACAGACTGAGACAGGCATACTTCGGTAACCAAAATTACCAAAATATGGAGGAGGACAAAGACTTTAAAGCCCTGTTCATCCAAAACCTCCACCCCAGCCTCAGCCTTCTCCTAGGTGTGAGTGCATGCCCTGTTACACAAAACATGCGGCAGCTGAGGACTCTGGTTGCCAGAGCCCAACGTATTCACACAACGAGATCCCACAACAAACCACCCGAGGCGCCCTCAGTCTACAGTGTTGGTAAACATTCTAAACTAAAGAGCGCCCCCGCCCACCAGCTGCGTAAAACAGCACGTAAGGCCAACCAGGAAAAGTCAAGCTCCCACAGGCCAACGGCACGTAAAAACAGGCACACACAGGGCAGAAGCCAGCGCTATTCCACAAACAGCACTGGCCCCCACCCACATAGCGGGACTCAAAACAATGTCCCCAAACAACCCTCAGGTACATTTAAAAACCATGTGGGGGAAGACCATAATCAATCGGACAACCTCACCTGGGAAGAGGAACAGCTCCTCCGAATACTCACTCGTAAAACAACTGGTGAAACGACAAACAAAGCTGACTCCCTTACAGAAAATGATAGTCCATACGACTCAGACGACATTGACTACACAGACACTGACGGTGCTGAACCACTAAATCAGACTGTATTACAATCACAGGTCGACACGGACACTTGGGACCCTGACTGGCCAGAGGACAGTCAATACATTCCCCAAAAGGACGTTATGGTGGTACAGGTAAGTCCCTACACCGACGCTGGGGGGAAAACTCCCCCCACAGTCAGGTGCAAACCACCTGCCCAAACGTTAATTGGAAAATTGCGACTCAAAGGAGCAAACGGGACACTCCACCTTCCGGTGACTCTCGAGGACCAATGGAAACAGGACGCTATGATGGATACGGCAGCAGACATCAGTCTGATATCCAGGAATCTCTTTGGTAAGTTACAAATGCTCGCAAAAAAGTCTCACAAAGAACTAACCACACAGCCGTGCCACATGGCAATACGCCCCTACTCGAACGTTAAAACTACACTAACCAAAATGGCGCTGATACATTTGTCGGTGGGGCCAATGAAATTGGTCCACCCAATATATGTCTCGCCAATCAATTCGATCCCCCTCCTACTCGGACGGGACCTGCTGAATCGCTTTGAGCCGCTCATAGACTTTCAGCACCTAAATATCTGGGCACAGGTTCAAAAGCCCCTCCCCATGCCACGGCCGCCTGGCAGCGCCCAGCCCTACGCCGCGGCAGGCCAGCCAATGACCGCCCCAAAACCAGACGTGACTAAACCAAACGCAGAAGCTAAAAGCTTCACTGTCACGCCCAAAACAATCTCAACCAATGCAAATGCCAAAACGCGGTTACGTCATAGACTGCCATTTTACGCTTTTGAGGCACTCACTTCACAGGTGCTTGTGGTGCCCCAAAGCGTCAGGGGGGGTAGAAGAACGCAAGGTCATGACGTAACAACCGCAAGACACAAAGGTGTCCACAAACAACCACCACAACAGGTAACAAACCAGCCAAATAAACAAAAAGGCATCAACAGACGCCTGGTGTGCGACCACCACACAGTGCCAAATTAAAAACCAGGTATGACCCCTCACCCCTGTCAAACTCTCTTGGACAGACCAGTCCAACAAAGTGGACCTGGAAACCACCACCTCGACGGTCAAAACCATATGAGGTGGGCAACAACAGCAAGGTACACGCCCATGGGACAAGGGGGGGACACCAAAGGTTCACAGTAAAACACACTGATTTTGAGCACAATTAGGCTAAAGCGTCTACTAACCCTCCTTTCAGCTAACCAACCAAAGACCTTACCAACCTGACTGTCTAACCTCTAAAACTCTGTCTTACACTCCACAGAACATACAGCACACTCCGGAGCAGATAGGAGGTTCAAGGTCACTATAATAGTACTCAACACCACCTATCGAAGCACTCCTCTGGTGTTTGCCACCGTGGACATCCCCTTTAACATGAGCGTGTCCACAGTGGTGAAAACCAATAGACTTCTCCCTTAGGCGCGTGAACAAACGCAGGTCTGCGCAAAGTAAGAACGTTGTAGCAAAAAGGCTTGCACAGGTGACTTCAGACTTGCAATCCAGAGTATGAAGACCCGCTGGGGATTCAGATTGAGACGGGACACCCCGTTTCTGTTCCACAGACCAAAACCGTGGCTCAAACCCAGCCAAAACCACAGTCCCTCGGCTCCTACAAAATAAACCCTTTACCTAAATAACTCAATTCAACCAAAAACAAATGCCTTCCATAGATGTGTGCTTACAAGTAATGTCCTTTTACTCCGCACTCTCTCCTCACTCGAGCTACCGTCACCAAAACGTGCCATAAACCCAAAACACCTCCTAGGCACCCCCTTTTACTTTTATTTGTTTTTGTTTCTACTTTATTATTGCTTTTACGTTTTCCCTTTCTTTCTCACTTTTCTCCTTCCTCAAGCTCACCTTCAAGATACGCCGAAGGTGCACCAAACCATTTTTGAATCTTAAAATGTTTTACTCAAATTTAAGTTGTAAATCTTATTCTATTGTGAATTTTTATATCTTAAATGCTTGTGTTCCCATCTTCTTTAATTTTGCTTTCCCCACTCCTGCCCTTCTCCCAAGCTCCACCTAGAAGTAGTACATAGAATTAGGTGAATTACGTTTCTCTAGGGCAGTTCACTATCAGCAGACCTAGCTGTAAACCTTGTGATTTAACAGCCAGAAACCAAACCCTCAGCAAAGCATTTGCCAGCCATTGAGTCATGACTAAAGAAATGCACTAACCCAAATCACTCACAGGCACACCCAAGCAGACGACATCACCAACTGTGGGCCGGCCATCATCCTCAAGGAATACGACCTGGATGTTCCTCGTCCTGGATGTTGGAGATACATCCAATTCGTAGGGGGGGAATGTAGGATGAGAATCCAGACCGTTGTTGCTGCTGTTCCATCTACCAGACCAGGACTCTCAGACTGTGATTTTAGTGCCCCCTAGCGGCAACAAAGGACTACACACATTCCAAACTTAAGTGTGCTGTATATGCAACTAAAATGTAAACCTGCATCTCTGTTGTCATTAATCTTTATTGAAGTGTGAGTCACGATGTCTGTTGAAGTGTTTGTGCTTTAAACAATTGTGTTTAATATGTCTCATGCCCAGAAGTTCCTGTGTTGTGAAAAGCCGGAAACAGGAAGTGACTACAACGTACCCGCCCCTAAGACTGGAGACAAAACCAGTCTGAATGCAGAGCGCGCTCTCTTGAATTTTTGGCCTTCTTGCTCTCCTCGGCTTTTCGTCTCTCCTGGGTTTCGGCCCTCACGTTCTGTGCCCGCGGCTGGATCCGTGCGTATGAGCTCAAGCAGGCTCGTTTCAACTCCCTGAACTTGCTCAATCAACTGCTTTCTCCCCCGCACAACAACAAGCGGGACGGGACGCGACGCTACACAGCCGAATGCTATGAGACAACAACAAAGGAACTTTTCTGGGATCAAAGCCGGACCACGTGTCCACCAACAAAGAAACTTTACTAAAAGCAACCTTCACACAGTAAGAAGTATCGTTGAATACCGATGTGTTTAAATGTGTCTGCTTTTGGGTTATTGTGCACATTCTTTGAATTGTGACTCACACAGTTTCTTATGCTCTGAGGGTTTTCGTTTGGTAAATAAACAGCTAAGTCTATCAGCCTCCAGTGTTATTAGTTAGTAGTTTGGGCTCTCTGGCGAATAGAAATCACACTTTTAGATATTTATGAGATTGATTTTAAAACCCCGCTTGATTCTTTTAGTTGGGTCTTGAGACTTTTCTTTCCCCCTCTTGAGATAGGGTATCTCTATATTAGTCAAAATTAGACCATTCTTAGAACAAGCTCACCCTTATAAAGGTAGATATAAGGGAATTTCCAATAAGGAATAGTTACGACTGTGTAGATATGTTTTAGATATGCAATGTATCCAAATGCACTGCATCTAAGACGTATATGCATTTAGTTACCCTACATTTGTCAAGCACTTTGAGTCGCTGAACTATGTGCAAATACATCAGTCTTGCTTCTTTGGGTCAGTGTGAAAAGGCCAACTCTAAACTAAATGGCTGTCTGACAACGATAATGTACCACCGTCCGTATTCTTTTTTGCCTTAAAAATGTCAAAACCGAATGAATTCATATTAAATGGCTAGCAACAATCCCAACTAGCTCCGCCTGCCCAAGCGTCTTGTACTTCCTTGAAATGTGATGAAGATTTATTATTATTTATCTGTTATTGTTATGTATTATTATTATTATTATTATCATCATCATCATCAGTATTATTATTACTTACGTATCTGGGAGCACTTTTTTTTCCTTTTTTTTCCCCGACTGAAAGACTGGTGATGGACCCCTAATGTATAAACCTGTGCTTCTGGGAGTTCCATTTTCACAATGTATCACATTAACTTTTAGGGACTGTGTGAAATTGTGAATAAACTAAACTTCTACATGAATCTTTGTGATACATACTGTACCTTAAATCATTTACGACTATAGATAAGTAACTGTAACACATAGTTTATCCAGCTGAAGGCCCCTGTTACCTCTCTGATCTCCTGTCCGGCCCCGTTGTACGCCTGGAGCTCGTCTAGGATCCCCTTGGCGTCTCGGAGAACCGCGTCCACCTGCTCCCACACCTCGCGCTCCGCATCCGTGGGCTGGGCGTCTGTGAGGACAACCACGAAAACACAACAACCACAGCGAGGTCAGCCGGGGCAGATCTGATACACTTCTAATCCTTCATCAACGCACAGTCCGAAAAGACACGGCGCGGAAAATCTGTGGAAATCCTTTGAGCTGTATTAAATTGAATATGCTACTTCCAATTATGGTAATGTTTCTTTGCGCTGTAATCTCATCTTTCTGTCTATTTAGCTTCACGCCAAACCCCTTTCTTCCTGACAAAACGGTGCGAGATAAGACCCCGATATGGATTGTTTTCTAGCTGCTTTTGTACAATTTCTGTTCGGGCTTTTTTTTTTTTTTTTGGCAGAATAATGTGGCACCAAAAAGACAAGGAAAAAAATCTAAAAAAAATAAGAATCTGACTCCACCACCTGAAGCTATCACCGTGTGCCAAGTGCGAGGAGGGTTACAGGCTTCTCCAAGTGCTGCGCAAAAAATACCTGCAATGGCTCATATCGGCTCCATGCATATTTCATTTGTGATGTTTTTTTAATGCAAGCCATGGGGTCTACGCGAAATACCAAATGAAAAAGGTGAGACATTAAAAGGGAGTGTCGGAGTCGGGTTTTTTTAAGAGATTGTTTTCTATAATGGTTTGGGTTGTTTCTGGTTTGCCACATGTGTCAGAACCTAAGGACCCAAAAGTGTAGCTTCAGGCAAACTTTAAATATAGAGGAGGGGCCGTGTTTCTGCTTGACATTCTCCACACACACAGAGCGAGTTATTGAAGTTGGTTGATAGAAACTGGAGAAGCTTTAGCTGTAGATTTGATTGGGCTCGATGCCTCTGGGAAGGAACGCAGTGCGAAAGATAAGAGGCTGGAAAAGACTTAACAGTTTGGAGTTTATAATGTCATTAAGAGAGATCCGATGGGTCGATGTCAGAGGGAGGAGGAGGAGGAGGCGCTCACTTTCAAAGTCCAGGAAGAAATTGGGCTCCTGCTCCAGGTCTGTGCACGTCAACACTTTCAGGAGGTTCCCCATGTTCTGGGACCTGTGGGCAGAAGGGGAGGGGGAGGAGAAGGAAGAGAGAGGGAGGAAGACGGAAGGAGGGAGAAAGGGGGGGAAGGAGGAAGAGAGAGGGGGAAGGAGGAAGAGAGCGGGGGAAGGAGGAAGAGAGGCAGGGAAGGAGGAAGAGAGGCAAGGAAAGAGGAAGAGAGGCAGGGAATGAGGAAGAGAGGCAGGGAAGGAGGAAGAGAGGCAAGGAAAGAGGAAGAGAGGAAGAGAGGCAGGGAAAGGGAGAGAGGGAAGGAGGGAGAGGGGGAGAAAGAGGGAAGAAGGGAAAGGGAGAAAGAGAGGAAGAGAAGGAAGGAGAGAGGGAGGGAGGGAGATGGGGAGGAGGAGAGAAGGAGGAAGAAAGGGAAGGAGAGGCAGAGAGAGATAGATGGAGAGAGGCAGAGGGAAAGAGGCAGAGAGGGAAGGATGGAGATGGGAAGGAGAAGAGAAGGAGTGAGAAGGAGTAAGAGAAGGAAGGAGGGAGAGAGGAGGAAGAGAGGGAAGGAGGGAGAGAGGAGGAAGAGGGAAGGAGGGAGATGGGGAGGAAGAGAGAAGGAGAAAGAAGGGAAGGAGAGGCAGAGAGAGAGATGCAGAGAGGCAGAGAGAAAGAGAGGGGGAAAGGGAAGCAGAGAGGGAGAGAGTTTAGTCAATAAACAGGCATCGATCTTCCACCCGCAGCCCAAAGCCAAATATCCGGCTCCAGTTTTATTCCAGGACACGAGAAACTAAAGGAAGAGTTTTTTACAAATCATTGAATGTTAGAAGAAAAAATACAACTGGTATTTTATATATATCAAAATAATCAGGTTTTAGTGTAGATTACCTCTCCTTCCGTGTAGCCGTTGTAAATGTGTGATATACATAAACAAGACATATCATTTGTCAGCTTTGTGTTAATTGGGTCAAATTAAAGTCAGACAATTCCGGGAAAACGCAGTTACAGAATCTTGATGGAGGGCTGTAATAAACCATTATTTTGGCAGATTTTTATGCCAATCGATCGGTTAGTTTTATGGGTCATAAAAAAGGTCAGTAAATGTGGGAAATGTCTTTATCTTTTTACGTTTGAGCAAAAAACAAAGCACAAGAGATGCCCCTTAAGAGACTTGTTACAATTGCTTGAATAAAAACATGCTTCTGTTTCTTTCTGCAGCCTTTACAGAAATAGCTGAGTCATTAAACCTCTCCTCAGCTTGTTTAAGACTATAGGACGGTTCAACTAATGATGAATCAATTACTAAATTAGTTTAGTAATTAACCATTTCAATAATCAATGAGATGCAATTCATCAACGTGCAAAGTCCATATTTTAGATCAATCAGCTGCTGGAGGCTCCACCAGAACATTGACTTCAACATTTTAGCCCACGCCAACAAAGAACCGGTTTACTGAAGAATTCGTCACATTATCATGAGCCGACAAAAGTATGGTTTCTGAATCTCCAAACATTAAAACTTTGATGTTTAAGATTAAAAAAATGATAAAAATCACTGTGACGTGTTCACAAAGCAAAAATGTAAGTAAGTAAGTAATGTTTATTTATATAGTGCATTTTACAGACCAAGGTCACCCAAAGCTCTTTACAATGTTCAGAGTCAGATATTGTTCCAATCATTCCACACACGGTGATGACGGAAGCGAGTCCAGAACACACTGGACCATCAGCTCCAACACCATAATTCACTCTCTCATCTACATTCAGACCTATTGTGCATGTTTTTAGTGGTAGGGGAAACCGGAGCACCCGGACGAAACCTACACAGATACGGGGAGAACATGCAAACTCCACTCAGAAAGGCCCTGTTCCAACCGGAATTCGAACCCAGGACCTTCTTGCTGAGAAGTGTGAGTGCTATCCACTCAGCCACCGTGCCGCCCGTAGAACTACTTTAATAACATGCTGATTATCTGTTGTAGGGTTGATCTCGAATGCGAAGAACAACTTAAATCATGTAGTTCACTGATCCTCTTTAAAAGGATGTTTAAACTATCATTTTGGATGAACACATATTCAGACTCAGAATGTTGATATTAGGATTTACATAAGCAGCTGTATGTTCTCACACTGATAGCACAGGGGAAAAAAGCCTTATATCTTCAGCCTGCTCCTTATCTGTCTTTCTGCTGTACATTTACTGTTCTGTAACAATGTGTAAAATTGCACCGAAATAAGCTTAATTCAACATTTCAACAAATAAACGGTACTGTCTATGTGTTGTGATGTCAGAGGAGCTCTCCCCTGCACACGCACAGTTCTTTATAAAGCCTACAGTCAAGTCCGGGGGTGATCCACGGCCTAAAACTTTAATGGCTTCGTTGCATGACTGAGACGGCGTGCTCTGGCTGAGTGCTCCCGGTGAACTCTGTGACACGGGCCCAGACGTGGTCCCCAAAGGCCCCGGAGTTTGTGCCCCCGCCCGCTCCTTCACCAACACATGGCACAAGATCATACACACATCCTGGTCTATATTTCTAACACTTGTAACTCTGGTTTACCACCTCGCTTCAGATTTATGAGATCATTTTGACAATAATCTCCAGGGAAACTGCTCAGGAAATGTATACACTGCAAAAAGTGATCAAATATGAGGTAATAATTGCTTAAATAGAGTGTTTTATCGTAATTTGAGTACATTCTAACCGTCTTCGTTTCAATTTCAATTCAACATATTCATGTACAGCCCTAAATCACAACAGTAGTTTTCTCAGAGGAATTTCCACAACTGTTGAATTCGCCAACACAGGTCAGAGAATCAAACCGTTCAAACACAAGAAAGAGAACAGAAAACACATTTGTAATGGTCTTTTGGCTGTCTTTTGAATTCATAATTGTCATTCTATTTTGTCTTGTCTGTATGTTTTTAAATTGGACCTAGAGTCTGTAAGGAAGTTGAGTTGAATTGAATCATAAGTGTCCATAAGTGTCAATAAATTTTGTTGAATGTTGAGTGTCCTGGCCTCACCTTGGTAGTTTATCACCACCGTGTACGGAGTGAAAGAATAATGACACATGTAAAGTGTCTCTGAGTGTCCAAAAAAGCGTTGTATAAAACCAATGCATTATTATTATTATCATTGTCTTAAAACACGATTCACCAATGGGTCAAACTCTTGAGTTATTTTCTCATTCCAAGGGAGACATTTCTTGTATCTTTTTAAAACAAGATAATTTTTCATATCGTTTGCAAATCTTGTTTTAAGGGCAGACAAAGCCATAGAGCGGTTATTCGTGGAAACCTAAATGTCCACAAAGATGTATGTTCTTCCAGATGTGCAATAAAGCTCGAGGATAATACAACTTTAACGCTGTATTAATATTTAACAAGTAGCTGTAATGAAAGGGATCATTACCACCGCGGAATACAGAACAAACCACTGATAATAAAAGGAACATTTAATTCTTTATCAGTCACGATAAAAGAAAGTAAATATTGCACCGACTCTACAACGGTGATAAGTAGTAAGTAGTAGTAGTAATCTTTATTTATATACCACCTTTTCACTGCACATCGGAGTCTCAAAGCGGTTTACAATTATGATTTTTTTGGAGTGGGGGTGCCAGTACAGGAGGCACATGCCAGACCTATTGTACATATTTTTAGTGGTAGGGGAAACCGGAGCACCCAGAGGAAACCGGAGCACCCGGAGGAAACCTACGCAGACACAGGGAGAACATGCAAACTCCACTCAGAAAGGCCCTGGTCCAACCGGGATTCGAACCCAGGACATAAGGAGAAAAACGCTCCCAAAATGCTCATAATATTTCTTCTTTCTCATGTAGTTTTAGCCTCACCGTGAGTGTGAGTGTGTGTGTGTGTGTGTGTGTGTGTGTGTGTGTATGGGAAATCAGAGTCCTAAGAGTCCTATGAGCAGACCTGCAAACTCGACCAGAGAACCAAAACTGCCCTAACAAAAGGTCTGGTGTTCAAAAGTCTATTTAGTTTACTGCATGTTTCAAAAATGTTAGGTGCTTTTGGAAATTTGGAAATGTTTTGACCAAAACCGTTTTCTCATTACATACAGTGACAAAACCAATGCTTTGTAGGTATACAGGAAAACAGGGTTTGAGGGATTAATTAAATTCTATTCTATAAAAAATAACATAAGATTGTAGTATTTACTTGTATTTTATAGCTACAACTTGAATGAAATAAACTTTAACAATAGGCTTTTTATAGAATCTATCACAAGGCCGACTTCTATGAGTAGTCACGTCTATGAAATGTAAATTTGGTTGATACAATACAATAACAAACAGTGCAGTTTTACTTTTGAACGAAAACTTATGGAAGATCTTCATGATTCACAAAAAAACTGACCTTTTCTTGGCGTAAAAAGGTGATTTGACCAAAAGCTCACTGTGGAAAGGACAAGCCTCTTTCTCTGCTGAATATTAGTCGGACATGGAAACACAGACAGGAACAACGCTGCCAATGACAAAGACAATTCCTCAAGCAGGACACTCTCAGTAAGTGTTTATTTTGTTCGTTACAATTCAAAATGTTAATATAATACACTTGTAATATTGGGTTCATATAGATAATTGCATAAATATCTTCAAGTGCTAGACAATAGTTAATCCAGAGTCAGTGTGGGTGAAGTACTACTGTAGCCAGAGGTGATCAAGGCAAACTCACTGAAGATTCTAATCTGTTCCAGCCAATAAAAAGTTCTCTTCTAAACTTTAAAAATAACTATGAGGTTACTTTACAGCAGAAGAAGACATACATTCATTTTCTCAACAAAAAAACAGCCCATTCAAATAGAACCATTCCGTCTCTCACATAAACAACAATGGGGGTGAAGCGTCTTGCCCAAGGACACAACCTGAGTTTTCTAACCAGCGGCACTTAGCCCTGTCCTCAAAAACAAACGCAGCACAGGCGACCTACACGAAGGCCATCAGACTGACCTTAACCCTGCGTCCAGACATGTTGGGCGGTGTACCTACCCCCTTTGTACGAGAACTTAAAGAACACATACTATGCCCCCAGTCTA